GCTGGACACTGTCACAGCCAGGCGCAGACAGCTAACTCAACGTGCAGCAGCGAGGGGCTCTCCTGGCTACGGGATGGAAGTAGAAAATTAAGACCTAAATAATATCCTGTCAGGCCCTGGAGAAATCAGTCAGCAGAGCTCAACAGAGGAAGTTCTTTTGGGTCTCAGCTGCCTTTTTATTGCAGATCTTGTAGGCATAGCTGTCTAGGATAATTGACCTCTTTCAGTCAGCCCACTTTTCAGATATCTTAACCATCGCTTTCTGCAAATTGATGTGAACCAACACGCCAGTCAGTAAAATCCCTCATTCAAATCGGTTGAAAACAATGAATTATACTTTGTCTTCTACAAGTGTGTTAGCAGACTAGAACTATGGGTCAATTTTCGGTTTCTTGACATCAGATTCCGTGAAATAAATGTGTTCTGAGAACAGGACAGGGTGGGACAGATGTGCAAGTCTTTTGAGCGTGGGGGCAGTGCAGGAAAGAAACACGAAGATAGTGAACAGCGTGACCCCAGAGGGTTGTCAAGGTCTCAAGGTGGTTGACCGTGTTTGCCTGGTTGTACTGCTAAAGCAAGAAGGAACCCAGCTAGCCTGTGTGTCGAGGGAGTGTGACTTGGAGTTTGAAACTGTTTTCTGCCTTCTCTAGGTGAGCTGGGCTCACAGGCAATGTATCCACATACATTCAAGAGCCATAACAGAAGCACGCCTGGGGGAGTCTCTGTAGTGTTGCTTTGTTCCATCAGAGATAACCACCAACTTTTTGTCCAATCGTTTTCTTACTTTTTGTTGTCTTCTTTCTGCCTTCTGGGGAGTCTGCCCCTAACCCTCCTTCATAATGCTTCTGTAACTTCCCAGCTTTCCCAATGTACATTTCTCTTTAAACTCAAGGAGAAAGGAAAACTTGAAAAAGGTAAAGCACTTCAATTCAGCCCAGGGCAAGATTCATTTTTCCCCCCTTTCCTTCCAAACTTCTATTTGGAGAAAAAAAAACAGCACCAAGCTGACTTGGTTGAGATTATAATGGGAAGCTCACAGTACTGCAGAAAAGAATATTGAATGTTCCTTACTAGACCTGGATGGAGATGGGTGTTCCTTGGACTTCCCACACGTCAGGGAACCCTGATTGCTCTTCGAGCTGATGAGGGAGGGGGACTTGATGGGGGAAGGGGAGGGAAATGGGAGGCGGTGGCGGGGAGGAGGCAGAAATCTTTAATAAATAAATTAATTAATTAAAAAATATTTGGATAAAAAAAAGAATATTGAATGTTTGACAGTTTGTCTTGCGTTCTTCACTCACTCAACTCTGGGGTTGTCCTGCTACAGCAGGGTTGGCCTGGAAGGGAAGCAGAGCTCTCCTGGTTTGTAATTAACTTCTAGAAGGAGAAAAGACAAAACAAACTTTTCCCTGGCCTATGCTAGAAATAAGAGTTGGGAGATGGACTCTGCAGATGAGCTACCTCCTAATACCCTTCCCTTCTCCCCAGGATGTATACTCCGGCTCTGCTCCTCCAAGCATCCTCCTCTGCCCATCATCTTCCCTGCCCACTTTCCTTCATACGCCCAATCCCGTACAGGCACCTCCAACTTCACCAACTGTGTCTACAGTATCTTAATAGCTTTCCGACCCATCTGTTAATTAGCCATTTAAAAAAGGAGCCACGCAGTTCCTCCTTAGAGCGATTCTCATCTCTGAGACATTAATGAATCAACTCATGGTGAGGAGGAGTAGGTTTGGATGTAAGAGAGCTGAGGGCAGAATAGAATGTCAAAAGGGGCCAGCCTCCTGGGCTGGGGGCTGGGCAGAATCCATACTTCTGGAGGATATGGGTCATCCTTCTCTGGGCAGACAGCCCCAAGTAAGGACTACAGGGACACTCAGGAAACATGACAATCGGAGGATGCCTGCAGGTCTAACCTTAACCTGAGAAGTTCTAAAGCAGGGCCAAGAAGAGGATGTAGCCTCTAATAGAAATGGGGTTCCAGCGAGGAAAGTTGGGACACCCCCACTCAGAGCAAGCATCGCTTTCTCCTCCTCAGAGCCCATCTTGCTAGATTTGGGTATTTGTATCATTGACACCGTGTTGTCTGTTAGAATTACCAGAGAGCTGGCTGTTTCCCCTCCAGACACCGACTTCTCACTCTGAATCCTGCTAGCAAGGGCTAATCACTTCCAGAAAAAGCAAAATCTGCTCTTCCCTGCAAGGGAGGGAGAGATGCAAGAAAGTCCAGTCATAAGGAATATGCATGTGTGTGGCAGACAGAGGGCTGCCCAGCCTGCGAACACCAAGGCAGAGCATATGGCCAATCCCTTCTTCCATCTCTTCTTAAACTCCCACAGTATCCCTTTGCAATGAGGCTTTTCTCACTGAAACTCCCTCAGACTCAGGAACGCTTGCCCCGGGAAGGAAAGGACTCAGGTCTGCCTGTCTTCAGGGAGGCTCACACACTGCAAAAGCTCTGTTCTCCCGTTCAGTATGGACACATCTTGGCTGCACTATTTCAGAAAGTGCATCCTAGCTCCCGACTTGATCTCCATTTCTCCCACTTTCCCTAGGAAGAACTCATTACTGTGTGACTGCATCTCTCCTCCATCACCGCCCCCTTTCCCTACCTGGCCTCTCTAACAACACAGACCACACAGTCGCCCCACCCAGGGGTGGCAAGCCGTGACATCTGAGGTACAAGCAGAGAAAGAGGAGCTCCCCTCCCATGTCCACGCAGAGGTGCATGGGGGTGACGTGGGCACTCACATAGACACTCTTGAGAAGAAGAGGTCCAGATGCTATGCCATTTTGCCAGTTGCTCAGAATGGAAAGACTTTCCCTGACCTGCTCAAGGTTACTCCTGAGTGTCCTTAGGTGTCACTCATCACTGTGAGTGTCACTCACCTCTGATCTCCAGCCCTACCCCCACCCGCCGCACATACACTGACAGGCATTGTCCCCTAGCCACCCAGCACCAGTACGATGGCTTCTAAAGCACGGATCAGGCCAGGCTGCAGCTGTTAGAGTGGTGCTCTGAACTGAATGAAATCAGGAGGTGAATCTGAGGGAGAGACATGCCACACTTCCACAATGGCCTGGGGCCTGAAATTCAGTTCACTCTCTCCTTCTCCCACCCCAGAAGCGGCCCCAAGAGTGCCCCCATGGTTACCCCAGTGTGGGACAGAGGGAGTCTGTGGGGGCAGAAGAGACTAATATCAAAAAGAGTGACTTCTAAGAGCCACATGGCAATATCGGTTTTCTTGGGGGCTTAATCTCAGACTCCAAGGCCACATAAACTTATCAAACACAGGTGATGTTGAGCAAATCGCACAAGACACCAGGGGCAGGGCAGGGAGAAACCCCAAGAAAGGTTACTCAAAAGAGGTAAGAGTCAGGATGGTTTTAATGGGACAAGAGGAGGGAAGAAGAGATGAGCCCGAGTCCTGGGCCAGAGGTGACAGATGAGGAACAACAGCACATCTGCTTCAGAAAGACCCCTGCCTCTAACTAACTGTTTCTTGGCTTTCCAAGCTGTGCCAAGACAGAATTCGCTGCCAGACCAAACAAACTCCTAGGGAGCGGGGATGCCTTGTTCTTGTTTTGTTCACGGTGCCCACACTTTGCATAGCAAGGCGTGGAGACCCCAGACCATTGCTCAAAATCCTGGTTCAAGACCAAAGGGATGTCGAGTAAACCAATGCTTACAGCAGCTAAAGGATGAATGGCTAGCTCGGGCAGTAAGGGGTTAAAAAGGGAAGCTCACTCCCTCTACAGTCAACCCAAGCCTAGTACTTGAGTGTGGAATGTCTGCATTTTGTGGATTTGAGTCAATAAAACCTGACAGGGAATATCATCGAGGGGGAGGGGCAGAATCAGCTCCTTCAGCATGCCTAGAAATTTCTACCTGCTTTCCTCTTTTCAGCAAGGTAGGGGTGATTAATGTTCAGAGCAGCGAAGGAAGGAGGTTTTCAAGTCAAGAGGATGATAAGCAAGGTGCATGGGCCAAGGCAGGCTTGGTGGGTCAGCTCACAAGCAGCGGACTGGGGGATGGGCCTGGGAACTAGGGCAGTGCCCACTCTGTGTGCCAGAAATGGAAGTGTTTCCTGGGGCAGGGCTTTCATTGAAGCCACATCCAGCCATTCATCTTTGTGGGGACACTGGAAGCATAGCTGTACTTCTCACCCTCTGCCTGTGTAATTCCTACAGGAGAGACTGGGTTCCTGTTGTGGCTTTGACTTTCCAGCGATCTCCTTGGGAGCCAGAGGCAAGGGTGAGAAGCAATCAGAGTGGAACTGTGGACTGTCATGTTTTAAGCTCCTGTTATACATTTTAGAAGGGGGCAGTCCCCAGTGTCTTTTCCATGTGTGCAATAAAAGACGCCCAACCGGGCTGAACACCATCCAAAGTGTTAACTCCGAGAGGCCTGCCTTGGAGGAACAAGTCCTCCAGTCTCAGCAGGAAAGCTAAGCACCCCACTGGAAGACATAACATCTGTGCTGGTCACAGGACATGGGGTACCTTCTTCCCAGCAGAGGCAGACACCCTTTTCATAACTATTCCACTCTTAACCCCTGGACATCCCAGCTTGCACTAACCCACTTGCTTTTCTTTTCAGTGAAGTGTTCATACTGTTCAGTTCTTTCTATTAAGCTGACACTACCATTTAAAACAAACAAAAACCTAAGCGTGGTACAAGCCATAGTAAAGTTGCCACACGCCATGCAAAAGAGAGCCTGGAGATTGGAAAATTAGTGGAATTCTTATCCTTGAACATCTTGAACTCCACTGATTCGTACTTTGTGTTGCAAATCCCTCTAACACTAAAGCATGCCTAGCTGCTTCCTAAGGAATGCGGGAGGGCCACAAGATTGATTGCTCTTAAAAGGAAGCGGCTGTGGAAGTGATTTAGAAGGATAGAAGAGGTGTGCTGAAAAAGACTGGACGGGGTGGGGGTATGTTAAGAGGGGACGAGGCCTGGCGACCCAAGGCGGGCACTCAGAAGCGCCTCTCACCTGTGGATGTTCATCTCTCGCGGGGGGCGGTGGGCCTTGTCATAGGAGACCTTGGCGAAGACGCCCGCTACGATGACAAAGGCGATCACCCCGCAGGTGATGTAGACGGTGAAGTTGGTCTTGTCCTTCTCCGGGTCGTACTTGTTCTCGGGCCCAGGCGACACCACCTTGGTGCTGGGCGTCTGCACCCATACCGGGCTTTGGTAGTTGGTACACTGGCGCTGGTCCAGCTTCTCGTGGCGCTTCTTGCAGCAGAAGCGATAGTAGCAGGTGCCGCAGCAGTACAGGTAGCCGCTCTCGCTGTTGTTACACTCGAACTCCTTGTCATACTGGCCGCTCACGTCGTAGTAGCCCCAGCACGTCTCGTAAGTGACGGTCGCGCTAGCCGCCGCCGCCGCCGCTGCTGCGGACTGTCCCCGCCGGCTGCCCGCCTCCGGGACGCCAGACGCCCGGGCGGTGCTGTTCAGCTCGCGGCCACCGCGGGCTAGGGCGCCTCCGGAACGTCGACCCCCGACGGCTCCCGCGCCTAGGGTCCGGTTAGCAGCGCGGCCGCGGGCAGCGTCTGCGCCGGGCGGCAGGTGTAGGGACGAGAGCGACAGCAGCAGCGACAGTAGCAGAGGCTGTAGCAGGAGGCGGCGCAGCGCCATGGCGGGGCCGGGCGGGAGGGCGCGGGCGGACGCGGGCTGCAGGCCGCTGCCCCAGAGGCTGGCCGGACTCCGAGGGCGACCGCGCGGGCTAGGCGAGCGATGCGAGCCGGTCAGCGGCGGGGCGATGGCGCCATCGAGGCGCGGGCGGCGGCAGGAGCGCACGGAGCGGCGGCCGGGCGCAGGCTGCGCGGGGCTCTCAGGCTGCGCGCCGGCTCCGTGCTCCCCCTGCGGGTTCCGCGCGCCTGGCGGGCAGCCCCATCCCCCGCCCGCGGCGGCCCCGCGCGGCTCGGCTCAGGCCGGTCCCGAAGAGCTGCTCCCGGAGGTGGCGGCAGCGTCGTGGTCCCGTCCGGGCAGCTCCTGCGGGACGAGACGGAGCAGCGGTCACGGGGTGCGGGGAGCGGCAGGCGGCCGGGCGGGGAAGGAGTGCGCAGCCCTCGAGGAGTGCGTCCTGGCTGGGACGGTGGCCCGAGGACGCACGGAGAGCCCCTGCGGGAGTCACCCGGCCGACCGGTCCGGGTGCGGTGCAGCCTGCTGAAGCTGGGGTCCGGCGGGCAGTCGGGGAGCGCGGAGGCTGCACCTCAGTCACTCACCGTGCCCGGCTGCGTCTGCAGCGGCGGCGGCTAGGCGGGAGCGCAGCGGCCGGAGAGAGCGAGCGAGCGGAGCCGAGAGCCGCCTGCACTAGTGCCAGAGCGTGTGCGGTAGGCGAGAGGGAGACACACGCACTCACACAGCTGCACACGCGGGAGCGCCGCGCGGGGAGGGCGGGGAGGGAGCCCAGCCGCTCGCCGCCGCCCACGTTTCCACGCCTGGGCGCCCGAGTGGGGGACGGCAGGACTTCTCTTTTGCCTCTTCCCCCCTCACTCGAAGCTCCGCGTCACCAAAGCCCGGACACCAGCTAAGCAACACTGCGTACTAAGCTGGCAAAGAGGGAGCTCACCCTGCTCCCCACTTCTCATGCCCGGGAGCAAGATGAGAGTGAGCTCTCTGGAGCCGGCCAGCGGCAGTCAGATGTCTTCTGACATTGCCCTTCCTGCCCTCTTGGTCAAGTACCACCCCCTTACCCCCCACACTCCCCCACCCTGCGCTTACCTTAGCCTGGTCTTTGTGCTTCCAGAAAGCAAATTGGGGTTTCTGCAAGCCTCTGCCTCTCCCTAGTGGTGATGCTCGCAGCCAAGATAAGAGGTCAAACCCATTGCTACAGGTTCCTACACCGAGGCCAGGGGTCAAGTGGCTCTTGGGCCATTAAGTGCCCTGAACCTAGGCTCTTTTCTTCTTCATCTCTCATACAGGAATGAGATTTCTGGGAGACACCTAGAATTCTCTCTTACTCCAACTTTTTCCCAGCGTTGAGACTGAGTTTAAAAGTTAAATATATATACACATACACCTGGGCTTTAAAGATTCCTTTGGGAAACTCTTGTATCCCCTGTTTTTGCCGTAAGGGGAGAAGAAGAGACGGGTGGGAATCCGAGGGAGGCATTCCCTCTGGACCAGAGTAAGGTAGGCATTCCCTATGAGCAGGTAGGCTCAAAGACCTGAGTCTGACTTTCCAAGCTCTGCCACCACCCCAAGAGGGAGTCAGAGTCCTAGTTTGGCGGTGTCCTTGGCAGAGGAGGGGGAACTGAGAAGAGGAGCAGCAGCAGCAGCAGCAGCGGCCAAGCTTCTGCCCATGTGTCCCGAGTACTTTGGGGGAAGGCAGGGGACAGACTGTCAGAACGATGGCAACAGAAATTTCCCTGAAATAGTCTGCTCAGTCCTACTCAGCGGGTGATTCAAACAAAAGATCAGCATTCAGGAAGAACTGGCAGTAAGTAGATGGATTGAATTGGAGCTGAAAGCCAGATTCCAAGACACAGAAGGACAGGATTCTTCTAGAAACTCCCCGTGTACTACTCTTTCTCGATCCCCTCCCTCTTCTTCTTCCTTGGCGCTTCCTGTTTCCTCCGCTTCATCTTTTAATGGTTCTGCTAACAATCACTGTTAGTGCCAATCCTGCCATGCACACTGACAAGTGCTAAGCTAAGGAAGAAGTAGCATAGCCCCTTCTTTAAGGAGTTCGTTTACAGAGGAGACAGTCAAATGATTTCTGCCTTTCTTGTTTGTATGCACGACAGAGATGGGCACAGTCTATTCTGAGAGCAGGGTACAGGCACCTAGCATAGCCCAGGGGAGGAGTAGAGAGGATCAAATACAGTTCTCAGGGTACTCTTGAAACACATGGTGAAGAATGATTAAGCGTTAGAAACATAAACAAGAAGGTAAAGATGCAGAGGAAACAGGGAAACTGGAAGAAATGAGTTGGTGAGGGTGGGTGAGCTAGGCATACAGAGTGAGGAAACCCTTAGAGGGGCTTCTAAATAAAGGCAGCTGGGGGGCACTGTAGGCCCTGTCAAAGAATTTGTATGTACTTCAACTGCTGGGGAAATAGTGGTGAATTTTAATAGTGGAAGATGCTATCAAATGTATAGGTTTGTTACATCTCCAAGTCTCTTGAAGGAGGAAACACTGGCTGAACTGGATTCAAGGAAGGCAATTTAGAAGTTGTGGTCACAATCCAGATGCAAAAATGATGAATATATGGGAGATGATGCCTGCAATGGATGTGATGTTCTCATTCAGAAGAGCAGACTTAGGCCAGTCAGCAGTGGTCATGTGGAAGTGTCTTTGAGAGGTCTACCTGAGGCTGTCCCCCCCACCACCCGCCCCCCACACACAGCAAGAACAGAAAGCTCAGAGGACGAAAATAGGCACACACCCTTGGTATTCAGGGCAATGTATTTGAAGAAAACAACACTGTGCCTTTGAATATGGATGCTGTGTATGGTTTCTAAGCCATTCTCTTTCTGTCTTCTAGTTTTCCCATCTCCCTCGTTTGTCCAGAATTTCCATTTGTTTATCTGGCCACTCCCTCAGAAATAGGTGGAAGACTAAGCTGTTCCATGAGAGACTCCAACAAGATTTCCTCAATGATACCAGTAAAGGGAAATTGACAATGTTTTTCAAGTCAGCCTCCCCTCATAAGGGCAAATGTGTTGTTAGGTTTTGTGCCCCTAAATTGCGACATCAACTCACTGAAACAGTATTTAGGGAGGCTGGAATGTGGAAAGTTGTTTATTCCAACCCTTGATGTAATGCACTCTTTTGTAACTGAGACCTCTCCCGTTCACTCTATGGAGTTGACCAGGTGACTTATCTTCTATCACACTTCCCCCAGACCCTACCCCATTTTCCCTTTTGGTTTCAACATTAGATCCTTGGCAGTATTGAAACATCCTTTATTTGTGGACTTGACCCATTTAAAAGTTCCAGAGAAGAATCATTTTCCCCCAAACCTACAAAGACTTTCTAAAGCCCTAAGGCTATGGGGAAAGTGTCCCAACTATTGTTATTTATAAAAGGTGTGTTCCAATTGGTCTGAGCCAGATGTAACAAACACCTTCTCTTTAGCAAAGATTGGTTAAGAATGCTTATGTGGGGACTGCAGAGATGGCTCAGCAGTTTAGAGCACTAACTGCTCTTCCAGAGGACCTGGGTTCAATTACCAGCAACCACATGGCAACTCACAACTGTTTGTAACTTCAGGATCCAACATCCTCACACAGACATACATACAGACAAAACACAAATGAAGTAAAAATAAATGAAGAAGAAGAAGAAGAATGCTTATGTGCATGTGTGTGCATGTTCTGGTCAGTGTAGATAAAGGTAACCTAATGGGGAGTGTTTTGGTGAATATTCTTGCTGTAAAAACGATGATAATTCCTCACTTCTGACCATGGTGGCTCTGGCTGGAAGGGCATGAAAAGGAGGCGATATTCAGGTTGACATTCCTCAATACTTCTTACTGGGTGTGCCTGCTCTGCCCTTGAGACATACAGTAGAATTGCAACCCAGGGGCCTCCTGTAAAAGTCAACAAGCTAAAGTCATCTAGAGGGTATTACACCGACCAAATGTTTTGGTAAGGTTGACCTGTACAGCATTTTCTTCATTGATGTGGAAGGCCTAGCCCATTGTGGGTGATGCCACTCTTGAGCAGACAGTCCTGGGGTGTATGTAAGCAAAATGTGGGGAACAAGCCTGTGAGCAGCACCTCGCCCCCCCCCCCCCCACACACACACACATGCTCATGGCCTCTGCTTCAGTTCCTGCCCTGACTCCTTTGGATTATGAACTGTGATGTGGAAGTGTAAGATAAAATTAACCCTTTTCTCCCCAAGCTGCTTTTAAACTTGATGTGTTTGTCATAACAATACAAACCCTGAGACAGGTAGATAAATGGACAGGTAGAGTTCATTCAGTGAGTTGTGAGCAGGAATTGTGTGTGGTATTTCAGAAGCACAACATCTAATTGCAGTAGCATCACATCTAATTCTCTTGTTTCATTCTGATGCAGTGATCAGCCAGCTTCCCTATGAGAGTGGTTTTGGAACCCAGGGGTGGCTCCCAACATCCGGCCATGTATATCCACATAAGGCCTGAGAAAACTGAAGAAGAAGAAAAAAAAAAAAGTCTGAACAAGCAGCTTCCTGGCTACCGAAGTCTCAGGTTGAGCATACATAGTAGAAGTTCTTTTAAGATGCCCTGCTATGCAACTGAGCCCTTGAGCAGCTGGCACTGGGTACATCTGCCTGCCACAGGCAGACACAATACTCCCAGATCTGGGACAGGCAAACGTGGCTCTGGGGCAGTGACCTGCCTGTATGAGGCTAGGTTCTGACAGAACAGAGAGGGGTGGAGCCAGCAGCCAACCTGCCATGTTCTAAGTGGAGTCCTCCAGCAGTAGGTAGTCTAACAGTTTCAGTTTGGCTCAGGTGGTCAGAGGAGGCTGCAGACACCCAGGAAGTCAGATCCAGACTGAGAAAACTTCTGAACAGATATAATATGCTTTGAAATGTGTTTAGATGCTGAAGAAAGAAAAGAAAAGAAAATCGATATAGACAGTCACAAAAAAATAAAATCTTTTTGGTTGTGAGCCTAGCCTTTAACGGCTGAGCCATCCCTCCAGGCCTAGTGAGTTAAGCCAGACCCAAAAAGAGGAACATGGGATGTACTCACTCATATTTGGTTTCTAGCCATAAATAAAGGACATTGAGCTTATAATTCATGTTCCTAGAGAAGCTAAATAAGAAGGTGAATCCAAAGACAAACACATAGGCATCCTCCTGAATATTAACCTTCATCAGGCGATGAAAGGAGACAAAGACAGAGACCCACATTGGAGCACCGGACAGAAATCTCAAGGTCCAAATCAGGAGCAGAAGGAGACGGAGTACGAGCAAGGAACTCAGGACCGAGAGGGGTGCACCCACACACTGAGACAATGGGGATGTTCTATCGGGAACTCACCAAGGCCAGCTGGCCTGGGTCTGAAAAAGCCTGGGATAAATCCGGACTAGCTGAACATAGCGGACAATGAGGAATACTGAGAACTCAAGAACAATGGCAGTGGGTTTTTGATCCTACTGCATGTACTGGCTTTGGGGGAGCCTAGGCAGTTTGGATGCTCACCTTACTAGACCTGGATGGAGGTGGGCGGTCCTTGGACTTCCCATAGGTCAGGGAACCCTGATTGCTCTTGGAGCAGATGAGGGAGGGGGACTTGATCGGGGGAGGGGGAGGGAAATGGGAGGTGGTGGCGGGGAGGAGGCAGAAATCCTTAATAAATAAATAAATTATAAAAAACAAAGAAGAAACAAAAAAAATAAAAATAAATAAAAATAAAGGTATTATTTTACTTTAAAAAAATAAATAAAATCTTTAAAGAAAGTGTAAAATAATATAAAAAAAATAAGCCATGTAAGGGTGTGAAATACATGGGCATCTGGACCCTGGATGGTGCTTTGTTAACTTTGAATTTCTTGGATGTTGTTGAGTGAACAGCGGCTACCGAGAGACAATGGATTATAGAAGGGACTGCTGAATTAAATCAGCCTGTATGCT